TTTAACCCATCGATTTTTAAAATGTTTGAATGCAGATTGATAGTAGGGATCCCTACGAATTCAAAAAGGTATAACATTTCAAAATCTGACAGTATTTACCCGAGATATTCAATAAAAATCATCAAAAAAGTTTTGATTTTCGAACCGACCCCGAATTTGAGGAAAAACGTGATGTAACCCCTTGCCATTTTGATGATTTCGGTCAAAATTTAGATTTTTGTTTTTTTGATGCCAATTGATAGTACTGATCCTTACGAGTCCAAAATGGTATAAAATTCCCAAATCGGACATTATTTGGCCGAGATATTCCAAAAAATCATCAAAAAAGGTTGACTTTACAAACGAATCGGTTTTTGGTCAACCACTTTTTTTAACCCATCGATTTTTAAAATGTTTGAATGCAGATTGATAGTAGGGATCCCTACGAATTCAAAAAGGTATAACATTTCAAAATCTGACAGTATTTACCCGAGATATTCAATAAAAATCATCAAAAAAGTTTTGATTTTCGAACCGACCCCGAGTTTGAGGAAAAACGTGATGTAACCCCTTGCCATTTTGATGATTTCGGTCAAAATTTAGATTTTTATTTTTTTGATGCCAATCGATAGTACTGATCCTTACGAGTCCAAAATGGTATAAAATTCCCAAATCGGACATTATTTGGCCGAGATATTCCAAAAAATCATCAAAAAAGGTTGACTTTACAAACGAATCGGTTTTTGGTCAACCACTTTTTTTAACCCATCGATTTTTAAAATGTTTGAATGCAGATTGATAGTAGGGATCCCTACGAATTCAAAAAGGTATAACATTTCAAAATCTGACAGCATTTACCCGAGATATTCAATAAAAATCATCAAAAAAGTTTTGATTTTCGAACCGACCCCGAATTTGAGGAAAAACGTGATGTAACCCCTTGCCATTTTGATGATTTCGGTCAAAATTTAGATTTTTATTTTTTTGATGCCAATCGATAGTACTGATCCTTACGAGTCCAAAATGGTATAAAATTCCCAAATCGGACATTATTTGGCCGAGATATTCCAAAAAATCATCACAAACGGTTGACTTTACAAACGAATCGGTTTTTGGTCAAACACTTTTTTTAACCCATCGATTTTTAAAATGTTTGAATGCAGATTGATAGTAGGGATCCCTACGAATTCAAAAAGGTATAACATTTCAAAATCTGACAGTATTTACCCGAGATATTCAATAAAAATCATCAAAAAAGTTTTGATTTTCGAACCGACCCCGAATTTGAGGAAAAACGTGATGTAACCCCTTGCCATTTTGATGATTTCGGTCAAAATTTAGATTTTTATTTTTTTGATGCCAATCGATAGTACTGATCCTTACGAGTCCAAAATGGTATAAAATTCCCAAATCGGACATTATTTGGCCGAGATATTCCAAAAAATCATCACAAACGGTTGACTTTACAAACGAATCGGTTTTTGGTCAACAACTTTTTTTAACCCATCGATTTTTAAAATGTTTGAATGCAGATTGATAGTAGGGATCCCTACGAATTCAAAAAGGTATAACATTTCAAACTAGTTTTCCCAGATATTCAATAAAAATCATCAAAAAAGTTTTGATTTTCGAACCGACCCCGAATTTGAAAAAAAACGTGATGTAACCCCTTGCCATTTTGATGATTTCGGTCAAAATTATAGATTTTTATTTTTTTGGTGCCAATCGATAGTACTGATCCTTACGGGTCCAAAATGGTATAAAATTCCCAAATCGGACATTATTTGGCCGAGATATTCCAAAAAATCATCACAAACGGTTGACTTTACAAACGAATCGGTTTTTGGTCAAACACTTTTTTTAACCCATCGATTTTTAAAATGTTTGAATGCAGATTGATAGTAGGGATCCCTACGAATTCAAAAAGGTATAACATTTCAAAATCTGACAGTATTTACCCGAGATATTCAATAAAAATCATCAAAAAAGTTTTGATTTTCGAACCGACCCCGAATTTGAGGAAAAACGTGATGTAACCCCTTGCCATTTTGATGATTTCGGTCAAAATTTAGATTTTTATTTTTTTGATGCCAATTGATAGTACTGATCCTTACGAGTCCAAAATGGTATAAAATTCCCAAATCGGACATTATTTGGCCGAGATATTCCAAAAAATCATCAAAAAAGGTTGACTTTACAAACGAATCGGTTTTTGGTCAACCACTTTTTTTAACCCATCGATTTTTAAAATGTTTGAATGCAGATTGATAGTAGGGATCCCTACGAATTCAAAAAGGTATAACATTTAAAAATCTGACAGTATTTACCGAGATATTCAATAAAAATCATCAAAAAAGTTTTGATTTTCGAACCGACCCCGAATTTGAGATAAAACGTGATGTAACCCCTTGCCATTTTGATGATTTCGGTCAAAATTTAGATTTTTATTTTTTTGATGCCAATCGATAGTACTGATCCTTACGAGTCCAAAATGGTATAAAATTCCCAAATCGGACATTATTTGGCCGAGATATTCCAAAAAATCATCAAAAAAGGTTGACTTTACAAACGAATCGGTTTTTGGTCAACCACTTTTTTTAACCCATCGATTTTTAAAATGTTTGAATGCAGATTGATAGTAGGGATCCCTACGAATTCAAAAAGGTATAACATTTCAAAATCTGACAGTATTTACCCGAGATATTCAATAAAAATCATCAAAAAAGTTTTGATTTTCGAACCGACCACGAATTTGAGGAAAAACGTGATGTAACCCTTTGCCATTTTGATGATTTCGGTCAAAATTTAGATTTTTATTTTTTTGATGCCAATCGATAGTACTGATCCTTACGAGTCCAAAATGGTATAAAATTCCCAAATCGGACATTATTTGGCCGAGATATTCAAAAAAATCATCAAAAAAGGTTGACTTTACAAACGAATCGGTTTTTGGTCAACCACTTTTTTTAACCCATCGATTTTTAAAATGTTTGAATGCAGATTGATAGTAGGGATCCCTACGAATTCAAAAAGGTATAACATTTCAAAATCTGACAGTATTTACCCGAGATATTCAATAAAAATCATCAAAAAAGTTTTGATTTTCGAACCGACCCCGAATTTGAGGAAAAACGTGATGTAACCCCTTGCCATTTTGATGATTTCGGTCAAAATTTAGATTTTTGTTTTTTTGATGCCAATTGATAGTACTGATCCTTACGAGTCCAAAATGGTATAAAATTCCCAAATCGGACATTATTTGGCCGAGATATTCCAAAAAATCATCAAAAAAGGTTGACTTTACAAACGAATCGGTTTTTGGTCAAACACTTTTTTTAACCCATCGATTTTTAAAATGTTTGAATGCAGATTGATAGTAGGGATCCCTACGAATTCAAAAAGGTATAACATTTCAAAATCTGACAGTATTTACCCGAGATATTCAATAAAAATCATCAAAAAAGTTTTGATTTTCGAACCGACCCCGAATTTGAGAAAAAACGTGATGTAACCCCTTGCCATTTTGATGATTTCGGTCAAAATTTAGATTTTTATTTTTTTGATGCCAATCGATAGTACTGTATATAATGGTATAAAATTCCCAAATCGGACATTATTTGGCCGAGATATTCCAAAAAATCATCAAAAAAGGTTGACTTTACGTCTGCCACGCCCCGGTGAACAGACAACCAAAACAGATGGTACCTAGTTGACCCATATATCCTTGGTCTAACCATACCGAAGATATCGTCCTGGTGAACCTAAATGCCGTAATGGTCAGAAAATATGAATGCTATTTATTTCAGCCGCCCCAGCAAACAGCCCATGCCCCTCGATGGTACCTAGTTGACCCATATATCCTTGGTTATACCATACCATTGATATAGTCCTGGTGAGCCTAAAGGACCAAATCCTTGCAAAATGCGCACGGAAACGGTTCAGAAATATGCATGCTTTTGCTTCTAGTATCCCTTTTACATACCCAGCGACAATTTAAAGTCCTACTGTTCGCCTGGTGCTTCATTAGCTTCGTTAGCTTTGAGTTTATGTTTTTTTCTTTTTCAATTTTAATTTTAATTTCGAAATGCGAGTTTTTGAGTGGCCGGCATCCGTACGAGTAGAAAGAGGTATACCACTCCGAAATTGGACTGTATTTAGCCGAGATATCGCCATTTCCAAAAACACATTCGTGCCCAATCTGCCCGATACCGGGCTTTTTTTGGCCGAGAAATAGCCATTTATAGCCGTTTGTAGCGTTATTTTTAAATTAAAATTAAAATTGAAATATCTAGTTACAATATGTCCGATTTCGAAATGATATACCTCTTTCTTCTCGTACGGATCCCGACTATCGATTGACACCAACACCAATCTAAATTCTAAGAAGTGGCCCAATTTGAGAAAAACTACTGTTTTTTGCAAAAATTACGATGTTGGCTGAAAATGGCTGTGACCACGAGTTGAATGCGACCAATCTTTCCAAGATCGGGGCTTATTTGGCCGAGATACAGCGATTTGAAAAAAGCGAAAAAATACCGTTATAATTTTGAAGATTTTTCGTTTTTTTTTGCGATAATTCGGCTAAAAATGGTCAGATTTTGGAAAGTTATACCTTTTTGAACTCGTAGGGATCCCTACTATCAATCTGCATTCAAACATTTTAAAAATCGATGGGTTAAAAAAAGTGGTTGACCAAAAACCGATTCGTTTGTAAAGTCAACCTTTTTTGATGATTTTTTGGAATATCTCGGCCAAATAATGTCCGATTTGGGAAATTTATACCTTTTTGAACTCGTACTGATTCAGCTGAATTTTGATTTGAAAATGTAAGCCAACGGCCGGGCCCAGTGCAATGGTATTTTGTAACCGTTAATATTTTAAACCTTAATTTAATTGTGGGTAAAGGGAGGGGATTTGGAGTTATAGGTTTCGCAGGACTATATCTAAGGCATGGTAAAGCCAAGGACGTAGAGGGAGTAGGGACTGCTGTTGGGACGGCCTTCAAGAATGTACTTATGTAGTTATTTATACAGAATTTCTTATTATTCCTAAATGTCTAGTGCTTAGATTAAAATACAACTTTGTTAAATAAATTGAAATGCTATGGCTAAAATAAGCTCACTCGCTCTGAGGTATAACGCCAAAGAGCGCCGACATTAGCTGCAGATAATCCTCCTCAACCAGCTGCACCTGTGAAAGTTCACAGTAGCCGGGCTCCGTCGGCGGCGGCAAGTACTGCACCTCAATGGCCAAAGGCTCGGCCATATACAAACGCTTTCTGCTGTCCGTGTGGGCGGCACGTGGTGTTTCCACCAGATCTGTTGAGACTTGTTGAGCCGGTGTTGATGCCGCCATGTGATGGGCACCCGTTGGATTCGGCGCACCAATGGGGCTCAGCATGCGCGTCATCTCCAAATTGCTGGACGGATGCGGATGCTGCTGCAAATGCAGACGCCGCACCACATTTACGCGTAGCTCGTTGGCGGTGCTGCTTGTGCGCCGCGCCAGATCAGTGCTGCCGCGCTGGCTGCTCGTCGTGTCGTTGGATGAGCGCGCCGCATCCGGATGCTTGAATTTGAGCAAACCATGCTTGCGCCGCACCCACTGACAGCGCGAGTCCCGATAGTCCACAATCACCTTGCGCCGCACAAACTCATGGAAGCTGAGCAGCTCGCTGCTGATGTCGCGTCGCACGATTTGCTTCCAGCGCGGCTCCAGGTCCGGCGAGCGTATCACGTAAATGCTCTGCGAGGCTACGAGCATGAGCAGATGCTCCAGCGCCACCAGGCACAGCTGGCCGTCCAGATTGGACAGCAGCTCGCTGGAGGGGCAGCTGGCCGTGGACACAGAGTGTGTAAAGCTGCGCTGGCTGCGACTCTTATCGCCGGAAGCCACGTTATCCGCCACCTCGCCGAGCTCCACGGTCGGCAGCACATTGAGCGGCACCTCATGGAAGCCATGGTTTTGCTGCGGAAGGAGACATCCAATTAAAATCGAAGCCGAGATGGATATCAGATATCATCGCTGCTGACTTACCATATTAAGCGCCTTCACATAGATGGTGACCATGTTCAGAACCATGCCAAAGGTGAGAGTTATGCTGCTCTCGTTCAGCTTGGGCGCACCAAACTTAACATCCAGGATGGGCTGCCATTTGTGCGGTTCGTAGTAGCTGCAGCACAGGATGTCCAACAGATCGGGACTGAACTTTTGCATTGCCTTCACACAATAGATGATGATGTCCGTCAGGCTGGGCAAGAAGAAGAAGCTTATAGTATTTATTTGTGACGGGAGGGGGGAAAATGCAATAACTTACTCATTGCAGGCGGTGATTATCGTATCGTCAATAGCTATCGACTCCATGTTGCGCAGCATTTCCAGCTGGGAGCGTCGCCCGGCGAGCAGGCACTTCAAATTGCGCTGCTGATGGAACATGGACGTGGCATGGCACATCAGCCCCTGGACAGCATTCTGTGTGGATTGGGAGAAGGCAGAAAATTTAAATTTATGCATATTCATTCACTTTATTTCCACTTGCCATAATGTTGAAGAGCGAGGAGCAGTGCTCCTGCGCCCACTCCTTGTGATGCTCCGTCAAGCTGGCCACCAGCGAGATGGCCGACTTGATGAGCTGCATGGCCGCCGGCTCCAGGGATTGCTTGCCCAACAGCAGCGAGTCGACCAGATAAACCTCATGTATGCCCACAAACTGGATGGCCTCCTGTAGGAAGCACTTCTTGTGCTTGTCGTAGATAATGTTGACCAGCTCGATGCCGCGGGCATAGATGGGCCACCACTGTTCCATGGTCCAGACGTCGCTGGTGGCTTTATTGAACTCGTATTTGGACTGCAGCAGTTCGCGTGGCGGCAGCAGCTTGAGCCACAGATGCTCGCCGACGTCGCAGTGCAGAAACTCGCTGGAACAGTTGCTCTTGGCAAACACGATCAGCACGTCCAGCAGCTGGACGCTGAGCAGCTGTTTGCTGTGCATGGGCAGCGTGTAGGAGACGCAGTGCAGCAGACGCTGGAACAGGCGCACCGAGACAAACGGCAGATCCCAGTTGCCGGGTCCATCGGTGTTGAAAATGGTGGCCGCCGCCTTCAGCAGATTGAGGCACAACACAAGCGAATTTGTGGACACGATGCCATTGGAATCCTCGGAAATTGGCTGCACTGGCGCCGGCGCCGGCTGATTCACATTCACCGATTTCTCCATATTCTGCAGCTCCGAACAGATGATGCTGACCACAGAGTTGAGAAAGCGCAACGATATGGCTGAATCTTTCACCAGCAGATTCGTGTAGAGATGCGCGCACTTGGTTATGATGGCCAGGCAGGCCTCCTTGGCGCGCACATGCAGATCCTCGTAGCAGGAGCAAATGCGGCTCATTAGCTGCTGCAGCTGTTCCATCAGCTGCTGCTCCTCCTCGCCGCTGCTCGTGTAGGCCTGCTTGAACTGCAGCAATATGAATATGTAGAGCTCGGCGAGCATGATAAACGGACGCATATCATCCAAGTAGTTGGCGCGATCCACCAGCACGGTCAGACACTTTTGGGCCAGCAGCTTGAACTGTGCATCCGGTATGCTGAGAAACTTTGGCTGCTTCTTCAGCAATATGACAATCAGATCCTTGAACGATTGCAGGCAACAAATCCAGTCGGGCAGCTCCTCGTTGCAGCCAGGCACAGCCGGCACCTTGGGCATATCGAAAACGTAGTCGAGCCACTGCTGGAAGCAGTCGCGCTCGAAGAACTTCTGCATGATCTCGCGCAGCTCGGCCGCCTTCTCGCTGTTGCCTGCCGCTGTGCTGTAGATCTCGATGGAGACAATGTTTATGAGCTGCGTATAGACGCGCACCTGGGGTTGGGCGCTCGGTTTGGCGAAGAGCGGACTGCAGAGCTTTTGCCAGAAGTGCGGCTGCTTGAGCAGCTCGTCCACGAGCATCTGAAGATTGTGCTTCCACAGCGAATGAAAGATGTTCATGATCTTGCCGGGCAGCGTCTGCTGTATGGTCAGCGGCTCGGCCTCGAGCGCATCGAGAAACTCCTTCATGTAGGTGACAATGCTGTCGCCAATGCTGGGCGCGCACTCCTTGCCGAAGAAGGAGCGCTTGTCGTGCGCATAGTTGACCTTGAAGAAGGCCTCGGTAACGCCCGGCTGTTTGGCTATGCAGGCATCCACCAGCTCCAGTATGGCTATCTTAATCGAATCGCTCTCCAGCTCGTCGGGCAGCTTTTGCATAAAGGTCAGACGTATCTGGTCCGCTTCCATATCCAGGCACGCCAGCAGCGACATATTAAACTCCAGCGCAATGCGCTTCAGCAGCCGGCAGGAGACAATCGGCAGCCAGCGATCGAATATGTTGCTCATATAGCTGCACACGGTGGGTATAATGCGCAGCGTGTCCCGCTGCTTGGGCTGCGTATAGATGAGCGCCTCCAGCGGCGAGAGCGTGTCCGGCGCATAGACGTGGCTCTTCAGGCACAGCACCTGCATGAGTATGCGCATGGAGAGGCGCACGAGCATCATGAGACCATGCGGCTGCTGCTGCATCCAGTTCGTCTCCAGCTCCATCGTGTACTGCACAAAGGCATTGCCCACGCCCACAAATCTGGAGATAACACGAGTTAAGAACAAGAATTGCAGGGATTACTATATGTATATGTGTATACCTCAGTAGGATTAGGCCATTGTCCAGATTGAGGAGCGAGTAGACGCACACGTTGAGCAGCAGCTGGCACTTGGACTCGCTGCTGCTGCTGCTGCTGCCGACAATATCGAAGAGATCGCAGATGAAGCTGAGCACCTCGAAGTAGATCTTGTTCTTCTCCAGCTGCGACTTGAAGTGCCACGTGTGCAGATGCGGAAAGATGTCGCGCAGCAGAAAGACAAGACCCGGGATCTCCACCTGCAAATAGCGCTGGCGCTTCAGTTTCGTATAGGTGCGCAGGAAGCTGAGGTAGGCCAAGAGGAAATCGTAGCGTTCGTGCTTCTTTTCCACATTGTCGATGACGGAGCCGAGGAAGCGCGACTCGAAGTAAACGGCGCTGGCGCAGAGCTTGTAATCGTGCGCCGACTGATTGCTGATCGTGGGCAATATATCCAGATGGCTGACCCGGCTGAAGATCTCCTCGTCCACCAGCGGCAGCAGCGCCGTGCAGACGTTCAGGCAAATGGAGAGCAGGCGTGTGGGCGGGCACTGAACGCTCTTGAACTTGCCCAGCAAATCGATGCACATCTCGGTTGGATGCACCATCTCCGAGCTGATGCCTTCTATCGACTTGGTGCGCTGCACAGCGAGCTCCAGATACTTGAGACCCGCTTCGACGCGCAAGATGCGCTCGTCTGAGTCAAAATCGCCATGCAGCTGCGCCTTATCCCGCAGCAGGCAGTTGATCTCGTGATGCAGCGCATTGAAGAAGTTCACCTGGCAGCGGAAATGCATATAGAAGCCATTGGCATGCTGCACGGCGGTGCAGCTAGTGCCGGCGGGCAGTGTATAATCGATGCGGGGAAAGGGCTGCAATACGCTCGTCAGCTCGAATTCATTCGGGTCCAGCTCCTTGACCTTGTGCGACTGCTCGTCGTACAAGAGCGCCAGCATGGGCAGCGCTTCCAGCTGGCCTTTGATCTATGAGAATAATAATCGAGTCAAATGAAAGAAATCAACTGGCAGCAGTTGGCTTACAAAGTTGCCTTGGCCCGCCTTGGTCAGGGCCTGGGCCAGCTTGGCCAAGTCGATGAACTGCAGCGGAAAGTTCTCCAGCAATGTATTGTACAGCGAGCGCGCGCCATCTTCTGCAAAGGATTGCTCGTGATTATCATAATCCTTAAATACTGGTTGTCAACAAACCTTCGCGCTGGCAGAAGTCCTTGGCCAGCTGCGGCCAGGAGAGCAGCTCGCAGAGCAGCTCATAGATGCCCTCGTAGCGGGCGCAGCTGCCGTCCCCGTCGAACAGTTCGCACATGTAGCACAGCTGATTGTAGATGGTCTTCCGGACAATGCGCGACAGTAGGCTATCGTCCGCGAACATCGCATGTGTCGCAATCGCATGCAACAGCTCGAAGCACTTGAGCTCGACGGCGCGTTTGCCCAGCTGGCGGCAGCGCAGCAGACTGGCGGCGTCGTCGGCATCGTTAGTGCCGCGCAGACGCAACAGCATCCAGATGAGCAGCAGGGGGCCGTGCTCCGGCCGATGATGCATGCCAGCTATGTCCGCGTGCAGCTCTTCGGTGAGCTGCAGAATAAGCTGTGAGTTGTCACTGGGCCGCTCAAAGTCCAGGCACTTCATGAGCAGCATCAGCTCCGAGTAGGTGAGATTTTTGATCAGTTCCTTGTGGTAGAGGTTGCTCTCGTTGAGGTAGTTTTGTATGCGGCCAAAGGAGTGTTGCTTTATGGTCGCAAACAGACGCTTGATCTGGGCCAGGCTCAGGCTGATGTGCTCGCTGAGCAGCAGGAGTATGTGCAGCACCTCGTTGGTCTCGCGCGCATTGCGCTCCGACCAGCTGGTCAGCCTGTCCGTGCAGTGGAAGCCCTCACCCGCGAGCAGTTTGCGCGGCGGCAGCTCATTGATCAGGCTGTCCAGCTGATCCAGATAGGAGTCCAGGAGACGGGGCAGCGTTAGCTTCTCCACCACCAGCCTGTACTCGTTGTGGTACGGATGGTTGGGCACATTGTAAAAGACCAGCACGTTCTTCAGTATCTTCAGCACAATCATGCGCTCCAGCGAATAGTAGTGCCTGATGTCCTCCAGCAGCTTGGCCATGTTCGTTTCGGTCGAGATGAGCTGTGTCAGCAGGCTGGCGGAGCCGCGATACTCCTTGGTCAGGTAGTAGCATAGGATCTCCCAGCACTGAGCCGACTCCAGATTGAGCAGCTCCTGCAAGCGCTCTGTGAAGGGCAGCAGCTTCTCCTGCTTCTTCTCCTTTAGCAGCACGGCCAGCTGCACATTGGAGGCGCTCTTCGGCTTGAACTGCAGCACGCCCGCTTGCAGCTCGGAGCACACATTCAGCAGCTCGTCGCGCACTGTGCCCCTGGGAGTCTCATAGTGTATGCCCGAAACCATTTGCCACAGGCGCTTCCAGTCGTATCTGTCGAGAGAAACCATTTAGAATACGTTGAACGCAGGCTTTGTTATATTTTGCCACCCACATGACACACTTTTCGACGGCAGGCATTTTAGCTAACTTAACTTGACTACAATAATTATTAGATTTTTAACTTTTGACAAGAAATAATACAAGTTTTCTAACAAATAGGCTCAGCACGCGCAATTTTGTTGCGTCTGGGGCTGCCAACTTGGTGAATTTTACCGGCAATCGTTAAGACAGCTGGCAACGCTATGCGACGTCGTCAGCTGTTTTATTACAGCGTTGCCAGGCACTTGGCTTGGATTTGAATTTGCAGAATGACAAGAAAACTCAAACTTATACTTTTCATTTTGAAGGCTCTCGTCCAGGTACTTTTAAAGTGAGTGCTATTTTTTACTGAACTTTGTTGCATCTAAGTTTATATATATATATATTTATATTCGATAGATTTCCCGACGATATCAGCATCCAAACGCTTCAAGATAAATTCAACAATGCTCCAAAGAAGCCTGCAAAATAAACTTTTAAAGTGTTCACCATACAAATTCATTATAAAATATATATATGTATATATATAAAGTTGTAAGGATAACATTTATTTAAAATAAAAATATGCATGGCTTGGATATTAGCACATTTTTCGATACTGAGGAATCCAAACATTTTATTATTTCTACTTGGCAGCTGTTTTCGTAGATCCAAGTCGACTGACAATATTAAAAATACAATCTTCAAATTCAAAGTTTAAAAAAAATCCTTTTTTTTTGTGTTGTCAACGTGATAAAAAGCCCTATGTCAGATGACAGAAAGTTGCGTCTTACATTTCGAGTAACATATTACGTTGTAAGGACTATCTGTCAGTTAATGCTAAAGTAAGTTCTGTACAATTAATGAAATTATGAGTTGACGCGTATAAATATTTAATACAGATTACCTGAAGCCAACGACTTAAAAGAAATTAAAAGAAATACAACTAAAAGACAATGAGCGCAGAACAGGAGTACGGGCACATCAAAATGGAGAATGTTAAGAAAAAAAATATGACTAGAATTTTACATATGAGATAGAATTTGTATTTCTAAATGGATAACGATTCATAATTTCGTAATTTCTAGCTCAAATGTGAATTTCTAGATTTAACTTATTTTGATTAGACAAGAGTTTATGATTAGGCAATATTTATGATATAGTGCGCAACTGCTAAATACCCCCCACTCACACACACACTCACACACACACACACACACGCAAACAAGCAGCAATCACAGTTCGTTCTAGATACTTCAATACTATTGACTAGCCGCCTTGCTGTCACACAGCTGCCGCCCGCAGATCTGAGTCCAGAGAGCAGCTGAGAGAGAGCTTTGTCTGCCTGTGTAAGCGAGAGAGAGAGAGAGAGAGAGAGCGCGCACACACAGACGTTTGCTCAGCAGCCTGGAAGCTGCAGCCCACAAAATGTCCCCGTTAGTAACAGAAAACTATTGAGAGCAGTCAGGTCTAGGCTGAGTAGCTTGGGCCAGAGTCGAGTAGGCTGTATGGGCGAATCATCAAACGAAATTTAATTAAAACAGCAAACGCGGCAGCTAAAGCAATAATAATAACAAATATATAATTAACGAAAATGGCACAAATCATGCTAAATGGTGCTAATGCGGCGAATTCGGCGAATAATAATGGCAGCGTTGAGGAGAATGAACGTAAGTACCGTTAGACGTGACTGTCTGTATGTATGTGTGTGTGTGTGTGTGTAAAATGTTAGACTGTGAAAATGTGTATCTTGCGGCTGCGGCTGCAGCTATGATTATGCGTCAGCAGCAGCAGCCGCAGCCGCAGCGCTAGCATCCTTGCAGCTGCGGGCGTTAACTAGCATGTAGGCTGGTGGTGGGTGGCAGGCGTGAGGGAGAGAGAGAGAGAGTCAAGTGAGAGAGCGAGAGTGCAGTTAGAGTGTATTAAATGTCAGAGGCTGAGAGAGCGCTTTCGTACAGCATGCAACAAGTGTAACCTTGCTTTTTACTTGCCGCCATTTTTTTGTTTGTTAGCTTATCCAATCAGCGACGATGAGCTGGACGACCTGGACGACGACTGCCTGCTGGAGGAGACGGAGCTGTCGGGCGGCGTGAACAGCATCGGACGCGGTCCGTACGAGCGCGCCTGGACGACGGAGGCGACACGCGCCCTGATACACATACGCGGACCCATGGAGGGCAGCTTCACGGAGGGCAGACAGAAGCGGACGGCGCTGTGGCTGCACTGCACCCGCCAGCTGCAGCGCTTGGGCTTTCGGTACAGCGCCGCCAAGGTGCAGAAGAAGTGGCACAACATACTCATCACCTACAACAAGAATCTGAACAAGAAATATGTCTCCGGCTATGTGCACTGGGAGTTCTTCGAGGAGATGTTCAAGTACTTGCAGGGCAAGAAAGCGGACTTCGATATGCAGCTCCAGCCGGCGGGGGCCTCGGTGCAGGTACAGCCACAGCCACCGCAGTCGCAGCAACAGCAACAATCGCAGCTGCAGCTGCAGCCGCAACAGGAACTGCTGCAGTACCAGAAGAAGCCAACGACGCCCCAATTGCAGGACACACAGCCCTATATAACGCCCGTGGATCAGGTGCTGCTGCAGCCGCAGGTGCAGCTGGACAGCAAATCCAATGACGAGTTCGACGAGGACAGCAACAGCCTGTCCGAAGTGCGCCAGCCCAAGCTCGAGTACGATGCGGACCAGACGGGCAGCACCATCCAGGAGCGGGAGAACGACAGCCACGAAATGGCGATGGCGCCCAGCGGCAAGTTGTACGAGCAGCCGCCGCCGGCGGCGGCGTCGGACGATGCCTGGTGGAAGGATTACTTCGAGCGCAAGCTGGACGTGGAGCGCGAGAAGATGGAGCTGCAGCGCAGTCTGCAGCGCGAACAGGTCCAAATCCAGAAAATGTCCCTCGTCCAGCAGGAGCGCATCGAGCGCATGAAAATCGATGCCATCAACTGCCTGACCGCCACCTTGCAGAAACTCGTCGAGGCCAAGTGCCGGCGCGCCTAGCCCAGAAGCGGGTGCTCCACCAGGCCAAGATTCAACTAAACTCAGTATTATTTAAGTTCCATGCATATCCGGCGTATTCTGATCTGTAATCCTCGTCTCTCTCTGTGTAAATACAATTTGGGCAACAACGTGACAAGCAGCTAGAAAAGCTTTTCATTGGGAAGGGTATCATTTTAATGGATAGATATATACTCGATTTGGACTTCCATTTCAGTTTCTAAGTCATTTAGGTCATCATTTTGAAATTCTATCTTTAACTTTCAGTTTTAATGGGATCTTAATGGAATGTGGCGTAGGTAATATGTAATGGTTGTGTGTACGGGAATTCCTTCAATTTGCGCTTGCTGCCGCTGACACGTTTTCTTTAATAACTTGTGTGCTTCTTAACCGATCTTGATGAAATTTTAAACGGTAGATCTTATTGTACTATAGAATATTTGTTTATTCCTTAAAAGTCAATTGCATTAAAATTGTGGTTTAAATTGGTGGGCAATACAAATTGGTTTATATGTGGTGGTAGTGGCGAGGTGGCGATAACTATAAAATGAAAGACACTTGATATATATCCCTATTCTAGAAGCTACATGTCCAGTTTGGTGACTCTAGCTCTTACAACATACGAGATTTGCCCAAAAAACAAGATTTCGATATCGATTTTTATTGATTACTTGGAAACTGGGCAAGTTATCGATTATCGGAAACAAGCTCGTCCTGCGCAGGCACTAGGAGAACCTACGTTCCAAATTTCAAGTCTCTAGCTCTAATAGGTTCTGAGATCCGGACAGACAGACGGACATGGCTAGATCGACTCGGCTATTGATGCTGATCTGGCTTTTTGCTTGCTTTAATATTTGATTTTTATATTTCTGTATCATTTTTCGACTTTAATTTGACCCTCTACAGCTGCCAGTTGACCTCGAAAACTGTGGCAATCGAGGCGTGGCTGACGTTGGGCTGCTGCAGGCCGTAGCTGAGGCGCCACAGATCTGTGGAGTAGACCAATCCCTCGCCGGCGCTCAGGCGCAAGCTGAGATTGGGGCAGATGTTCTCGTCACAGGGCTGCTTGGGACGCAGTCGCCACTCGAAGTGGCCGCTCAGCTGCTGCACGAAGATCAGGCCGCGCACATGGATCTCGGTGAGGGGTCGCTGCAGCTGGTGGGCCATCAGCAGCCAGCTGGAGTAGTAGGGCTCCAGATGCAGGGGATAATAGTAGGGTTTGCCAGCATAGAGGCGTGACGCCTTCACGGCACTCGACTCACAATTCCGGAACTGCAGATGCCAGGCGCCAGTTGCAGGAATCTTCTGTAGGGCTGCATCCAGGTTGAACAACTGGCGCAGCATCAAATTGCTGGAGACATCGCAGGGCTCGCTGGCGAGCAGCTCTGGCGCCTTCTCCAGCAGCTGCAGCAGCAGCTCATCCAGCTCCAAGTGCAGCTGGCAATCGGTAACTATGACGGGCAGGCCGCGCTCCAGATGCTGCGTCTCCAGCTGGGAATAGCTGACATTCGAGGCAATGGGAATGCGCTCTACAGGTTGGATTGGATATAACTCTAGATAGTATAAGGAGCTCGCCCTGCTGCTTACCCAGCTGCTCGCACAGCGCACAGTTCTCCCAGAGCGTATCGTGCCTGCCCAGAATTTTTGGCTTCACTTGCTGCTCCATTGTCCCGCGCTCGATCAGGCACTTGGCATTGTAGTAGGGCGTCCAGTTCCAATAGGGCAACAGCTGGATGAGCAGCAGCCGGCCCAAGGCGCTGGCAGTCCAGGCGCACGTGTCGCAGTAGCTCCACAGCAGATAAACCAGCAGTCCGGGCAGCAGGAGCCACTGCGTCCACCATCTCAACTGTCCTAGGCGCACATGCCAGGCCAGGGGCTGGCATATGCTGCGCATTTCCGTCTCGCTGAACCGCTGCTTCCGGCACTGCTCCACAAATTGCGCCAACTCCCGCTCAACACTTGCCATGTTCACGTCCTGAAGGCCAGCCAGCGAATGATTCCAGGTCTAACTCCTTGCCTGCCTGGCACATGCGCCCGTTAAGCAATTTGTAAATTTAATTTTCTATTTCATTGCGCGCCCAGACGTGCAACGCGCCGATAAGAACCACAAAGGATAATTCGAGAACAAAACCAAATTACATGCTTAACAAGTAAGAGCTTCTAGTCGGGAGCTCCCGACTAGGGGATACCCTGAACCCTCAGGCGATAGTTATAAAATGAAAAATACTTGATATATATATATACTATTCTAGAAGCTACATGTCAAGTTTGGTGACTCTAGCTCATATTATTTGCCGAAATTGCTCAAATAACAGGATTTCGATATCGATTTTCATCGATTACTTTGAAACGGGGCAAGTTATCGAATATCGGGAACAAACTCGATCTGCGCGGGGACTAGGAGGACCTACAGCCAAAATTTCAAGTCTCTAACTCTTATAGGTTCTGAGATCCGGACAGACGGACGGACATGGCTAGATCGACTCGGCTGTTGATGCTGATCAAGAATATATATACTTTATGGGGTCGAAGATGCTTCCTTCTGCCTGTTACATACATTTGCACAAATACATTATACCCTGTTTAACCATTTTTAATGGGTTCAGGGTATAAAAAGGAATTGCTTCAAATTGAATATAAATGAAATAAAGCGAGAAACGAGTTGACAATTTGTACGGCATAGCCAGAGCTTCAATGGAGATCCACAGCTCGAATTTATGAACTGGCCCAGAAATTAAAATAATATAATAATAATATTAAGCTCGAAGTAAACGTAGCTGGTTTTTTTTTGAATAAATAATAACCAACAAACAACAAGATATTTAATACCTAGAAATGAGCAGGTTTTCTGTATGGCTATTTGAGGAAACTTCCGGTTCCATCATCTACTCCAGGACAGGCTTTTACCCGTTTCTTTCTCCAAAATCAGAGTCAATTTTATGTAGGATATAGGTAAAGGTAATATTCATTCCCAAAAACTTAAATTGTTCCAAATTTAAGCTGATTTACTCAATGGAGTATGCAAAATCTGACTTCAATTAAGGATCCAAAAGTCGAATTTCTGGACTTTTGGGGCACAGCTGGCAAGCTTGGGGTCAACGTTGATGGAAGAAATAATAAGCCACAAATAACAAGATATTTAACACCAGGAAATGGACAGGTTTTCCCTGGGGCTCGTCGAAATACTTCCCGGTTCTATCATCCACTCTAGGACTGAATTTGTCCTTTTCTTTTTGCTGAGAATCACAAAATCAAACAGAGTCTATTTAATGTATTATAGAATGTAGGAAGTGGATATTTAGAAGAGCTCATTTGCAGTCTTCTATTCGGTTCCATCATCCAATGTTGGACTGCCTTTAGACCCTTTCTTGCAGAGAATCGCAAGCGTCAAACATCAGACAGAGTCCCTCCTAAGTTATACATTTTATTTATTTATGGATGACCAAAACGAGTGTCTTCCTGATTATAAAATACATAAAACTATGAAAATTCAATGCTAAAAGTGCAATTAGAGTACACAGTTTTCAAATAGCATCAACGACACAATGGAGGTGTTTTAATTACCCAGTCCGGTCCAGCTTAGAAGGAAGTTGTTAGTAGAGAAAATAGTCTTCTTAAATAAAGATTAAAAATAATCCTAATTTACTGTAATATTTAAGAAAATATAATAAATGGGAATAAAGAAGGAAAGAAGTTATTATTATAATAATGTAAAGAAATTTGTACTAGATATATAGAGTGTTAAGTAGTTAGGATAAAGAGATAGTGAGGGGAAATCGCCGAGCCGGTGGGGAGAAATTTATAGGCTGTCCGACAAGCTATGCCCCTACTCATAGCTGGGAAAGATCAATAAATTCCCGAAGGTATCCTGAAAGCAACGATTTTATTAGAGGAAGAGAAAGTTCCGAGAAGAAAACGTGATACAAACTATTGTATTTTTTGCATAGTACACGAAATAATAATAATAATCAGTTTTGCGTGTAGGTAGGAATAAGGGGCGATATCTACTGGGTAGGTTTAGACGGAACAGAGAATTGAAGACGCCCTAAAGGAAAAGAAGAATCTATCCAACAATTAACTTATGTAGGAAGACAACAACGAGTAAATGGAGCTCATCTTTAGTCTTCCTTTTCTAAAACGTAAATAGTATACAGATTTAATCTGATTTATTCGGGTTATTTAGGATACATTTTACTTTTAAAAATGGAGGTATTTCATGTTATTAATTTTTGGTAACTTTTTGTTGTTGTAAGATTATTAATTTTCTTCAACTTTGTTCTACTTGGCCGCACTTGCCTGACGGCGATGAGGAGGTTTGCAGCTCTTGAAGAATTCGCGAGCCTCGTTGCACTCCTCGGTATCGGTCCACACGGAGGCCGGACAGTTCTTCATCATGTTCTTGAAGGCGCAGCCCAGCAGAAAGGCCGGCTTGTGCGGGCACATGGGCAGGCCGGGCGGCGGTGAGGGATGCGGACGATTGCCCATCTTATCCTGCCACTCGTCGACCTTGGCGGCACAGTTGGTGAACGCGTCGCTGGCCACATTCTGCAATTCGTCGCTGTCCTTGAAGACAAGGCTCAGATGGTCCTTCAGCTTGTCCGCATCCAGGCCGTTGTCCTCGTAGATGCCAGTCTCATTGAAGACGCACGACACGAAGCACTGACAGCAGAGAAAAAGAGTTCGATTAGGGACTCAGTCTGGGGCATCAATCTCGGCTTACGGGTGGCAGGAAGTGATGATGGGGATGCGGACGCCGGCCCTCGCCGCTCTGCTCCATGGACATTGGCGGCGGCGATGGCGGAGTTACATTATACTGCTGGCATTTCTCCTTCAGCTCGGCTGTGACAAACTCGGGCATGGGACAACATGTCATGGGATTCACAAACTTGGGCCGCTGACTGCAGTCCACATCGGCACGGGCCACGCTCTGTTCCGCAATTAATATTCAATTACTTTTATCTGCCCAGCTCCATTTCCATTTGCGCACACACTCTACATACCAACACACAGCACAGCCCGACGACGAGCAATAATTGCTGATACTTCGATAACATTTTTGTTTTGCAGCCCAGTTCCAATGGGGGACTACGACTGAGCTGGGTTCAAAATGATCTGACGTTTTATAGCCGTAGCTGTCGTTGGTTGTTCTTTGGTAATTATATCTACATATATCTATATCTTTTTTTTTGTGGATGGCTGCCTAATGGTGTCCACAAATAAATGGATCTTTTTTGCCAATCTTTAAATTAACTTTTTTTTGTGGTCCATGCAATTATCTCGATTGCCTAATTAATTCAATTGACATTTTTTTAATTTATTTTTTTGCGCATAATCTGTTTACATTCATGTGGGAGGGTATTTTTTTGTTGTTAACAAATGAGATAATGTTTACAACTACTTCGATCTCAGATACATAAAGAGCTAGAGACTCAAACGTAGATCAAGCTTATTCAAAATAATCGATAACTCAACCCTTTGCGTGAAATCGATAAGACAAATATGGTTAAATGAGAGCTCGAGTGTAGAATTTTAAAGTTCATAAGCCGAGCAAATCCGAGCAAAGCCCCTTCGATCTCAGAGACATAAGGAGCTAGAGATTCAAATGCAGATCAAGCTTATTCAAAATAATCGATAACTCGACCCATTTTGTGAAATCGATAAACAAAATATGGTATGGGCATAGCCCCGTTGATTTAAGAGATTTTAAGTGCTAGAGAATTGAACGTAGATTAAGTTTTTTTCAAATAATCGATAGCTCGACAAGATCGATAAATATCGATATCAGTGTAACGACAGATTCAGGTGCAGGGTATCTCCTAGTCGCGTACTTCCCACTCGCGCATTCTAAATTGTTTTTGGTTAATTACCATTATTAAAAAACATTTAATTGTGCAGAATCAATACAATAATTCGTTAAGTAAGCACAAAAAAGGCTAGAGAGAGATTTATTATGAGGTATACTATAAGGATAAGGATTAAGAATGATTATCTCTTAGGGTAAGCCCCATTCCAAAGTGTTCAAAGCACTTTGAATTACACCACAAAAATTAATACGAAAAAAAAATAAAGCGATAATTGGCCATGACTAATGCATAAACAAATTAAATTTGAACAATTTTTGCTAAATTACGGCACTAAAAAATTTCACAATTTTAATCACATCTTTTCGCGTTTGTACAAAACAAATTGCTGCTCGTGTTTGCTCTCGTTTAATTTATATAATAAAAAATATGAAGATCAACTAAATAAGAGACTATAATGTGCCAATGTCATTTGCTAATACAAATCTCTGCTAGTTTCCTCTTGTTTCCAGCCTATTTGCCGACCACCTCGGCTACGGCGGACTTGACATCCGGATACTTGAACTGATAGCCGGAGGCGATCGTTCGCTTTGGCTGGATTTTGGCGCCGCTCAAGAGGAGCGCGGCACGCTCCTTGCCAAAGATGGCATGGACAACAAACTCGGGCACTGGGAAGAGACAGGGACGATTCAGCGCACTGGCAAATGCCTGCAGGAATAGAGGAGGATTAGAGCCCGGTTATGTGTAGCATGTGGAGCTGTTCCAACCTGCGAGAAGCCTTTGTTGCTGACTATTTCCGGCGCGACGCCATTGAAGACGCCCGTCTCGCATTTCTCAATGAGGTGCTGGATCAGGCTGCACAGGTCGTGCATGTGTATCCAGGGCATAATCTGCTGTCCGGCGCCCATTGGACCGCCCAGGCCAAGCTTGAAGGGCAGCCATATGGATTTGATCATGCCGCCATCACGTCCCACAACTGCGCCAGTGCGCACTATGCTCTAAGGTATCCGTGAAAATCAGTTCTTGATATGTTATAATATGGCAAAACACCTACACACTTGCAGGCCTTGTCTCCGGCGTCAGCGGAGCGCGCTGCCTCCTCCCAGGCCAGGCACAGGCGCGACATGTAGTCGTAGCTCTCGCCCCGGTCCTCCTCGGTGTAGGTCTTGGTAGCCGAGGGTCGGTACAGGCTGACGCCACACAGATTCACAAAGGACTTGACCTGTGGCGCCGCTTCGATGGCATTGCTCAGCGTCTTGGACGAGTTGACGCGCGAATTCCAGACGTTCTGCTGGAAGCCGGGCGTCCAGCGTCTTGTCGGATCCAGCACATTCTGACCGGTGGTATTCACCACGGAGCTAACGCTGCTGGGTATGCCCTGCTTTTCCAGCTCATGCCAGGTGATGCGCTTCGGTCCGGGCATCCGCGAAATGACGGTGATTTCATAGCCCTTCTTGGCCAGGTGCTTGGCCAGATGACTGCCAATGAAGCCGGTGCCGCCACCTGTTGGCCAAAGCCGCTGTTAGGTCTGGTTTAGCGCCAAGGTCTGTCCGTATTTATTAAACGTACCTATTAAAGTATGCTTTGACATTTGCGCGATATTCGAGTATTTTTGGCAAAGCTTAAAAATGTTTTATAAGCGTTTTGTCTGCTTCTTTTTTTCGTAAATAGAAGCGCTGCCAACTTGTGGAAATGCAACAAGTAATTACACAGTGGTAACGCTTTGTTTCGATGTTGCCAGACTGGCGAAAATACAATGAGCCTTTCAACACTGACCCACAATTTCAAATGCTGCGCGGTAAACAATTTACACAGTGGTAACGCTTTCTCTGAGTGTTGCCAGACTAGCTAAATGAGCTTTTCAACACTGATACTTAGTTTCAAATGTTGCGCGGTAAAAAGTTTACACTAACACCTAAATAGTGTCAAGTTGCAGGAATAATAAACAAGAAAAACAAAATTTAACCCATAAAGTGGTCAACTTGTGTCGTTAAACTGTGAGTGAAATCCAGTTGAATATCGGAATATCGGCTTGAAAGGTGGCTCAACCATTGGAGGCTTTTAGTGTCAACGCGAAGTGGCTTTTAAGGCGCGATAAGCCCGTAAAATAAGGGGCATGCATTAAACAGAAATTGCTGCGCGCGCTTATCTTATTGCGTTGAGCGTTTAAAGTTGGACAAGGCACAAGGGACATGCCACACACACACCGCACGGGTTGCAGTAAAAGTGCAAACTACGCTATAATACAGGCAGCGCTTTCTTCTTCTTGCACACATGCAACATGCCTCGCCTCGCTGGAGACCGGGCGGCCCGGAGCCAAAGCCAAGTTCAAGTGCAGCAGACATCATCCTTGCTGCTGTTGTGCGCGGTGTTTTGTTTTCGGACCAAGTCATTGGAAACTCATTTGCATACACATTGCCAGTATTAACTGACGCCTGGCGTGGGAGGGGGGGAGATTGGGAGTTCGCCGGGGGTTGACAGTTGTCTCGACAGAGCAGACATGGGCGTGCTCTCCGGTCATGTGCCGGCTTTTGTGCAGTCAAATTTTATGCCTTTGAAGAGCGTTAGAAGAATTTGCATTAATCGCAGCAATTATTGCGCTTCATTGAGTGAAAATGAAATAAAAAGTGCTAGCCAGCCATAATTATAGCGTCTGCGCCGTTTTATCTATTCCGGCAATCTGCCGGCGAGTATCACGCACGTATGCAAAAACCGAATAATAACGAATAAATGAGCGTACAGCAACTGGGGAAGCTGCAGCAAGGAGTACATTTTTGATATTAAGAAATATAAAGCCTTACCAAGAGCATAAAGGGTTTACAGCGATAGGAATTGATGTGATTGTAAAGAAACGAAATTAGTTAATTTCCTAGAGGTTTTATGTATATCAAATACTGCATAAACAAGATTCCAATGCAGCGGGCTTTAAGGCCTTACCAACACTTAAAATAGTTGACAGCAATCGATAAGAATCGTGATTGATGTGATCGTTAAGTATCGAAATGGGTTGCTTTCGTTCAGTTTAAACGGCTATTTGATTGTTGTCTTTGGATAAAGTGCTAAAATATGCCAAAATGCTTTTGAGATGCAAATAAATTAATTCGTTTGTTTTTATATATGACTTTCCAGCTACTAAGTGAGCGACTTTAATGCCTTACCAACACTTTAAAGCGTTGACAGCAATCGATAAGAATTGTGATTGATGTGATCGTTAACTTTCGTTAAGTATCGAAACTGGTTGCTTTCGTTTAGCTTTGGATAAAAAGCTAAAATATGCCAAAAAGCATATGAAATGCAAACAAATGACTTGGTTAATTTGCCTTTAATTTGACTTTAAAGCCTTACCAACACTTTAAAAGAGTCGACAGCAATCGATAAGCATTGTGAATGATGTGATCGTTAAGTATCGAAAGCTGGTTGCTTTCGTTCAGTTTTAACGCCTGGCTACTAAGTGACTGACTTTAAAGCCTTACCAACACTTTAAAGCGTTGACAGCAATCGATAAGAATTGTGATTGAAATAAGTTGCTTTCGTTCAGTTTTAACGGCTATTTGATTATTGGCTTTGTATAAAGTATAAAGTGCTTAAATATGCCAAAATACATTATTTGATTTGTTTATATATGTATATGATTTTCTACTTAGTAAGCGCCAGTTGGAAAGAAGAGTCAACTAATTATTAACTATTTCAGACTGGGAACTGCGTTCGCCCTTAATGCGATAAGGGGTTTTTTCATAAAAGCGAAAAACTTTCTAGACAAAAGAAAATATGATTGCCGAATGCAAACGCTGTCAAAGTGGCGGACCGGGCAACCGATAGCAGGATCTCAGCTTCTGAGTGGCAGCAGCAGAAAATTTAAAAAACTTTTATAGACTTTGTAAATGTGTGTGTGTGTTGCGTGTGTGTGGTGTGTGTGTTGCGTGCTGGACTGCTATTTGAGTTGCACTTCCGGTGGCATTGCTATGCATGGCCAATACAAGTGGCAGTCCTCCGACTGAGGACTCGGTCTCGTAACTTATGCTCAAGTGTAAATATGTCTGATGACAAACTTCTTTGTTTGCCGACATCGGCAGAACTGACAGACAGACAGACAGGAACTGTCTGCAACTCGATGCTGGATACTTTCGCATCTCTCATCACTCGTCGCCCCACAAAGTTGCAAAGTCAATGGCAATATGCATATGCTGCATGGATATAGCCGTGTTTGTGAATCTGTCGTATCTGGCTTTTGGGCATCTACAGCCAGAAAATTTATAAATGCAATTCCTCTATTGTTGACTTGATTTGTGCAACTTGCCGTTGACATGTGGGC